ATTTTGGTATATATATATACACATATATATATGTGTATATATGGGCTGGTTTTGCTTCTCTAGAGAACATAGCCTAAGACACTCACCGAAGAGCCTGGCACACAGGGAACACTTGATTTCATGACCTCATCTGCCTGCCAAAGTGGCACAATGAAAAAAGAGAGAACTGGAATTGACGCATTTGAACGGTGGGGCTGGCAAACACTGGCTATACCATGGATGGCCAGAACAAACACATCTTATTAGAAATATAACCAGAATGCTTTTTGGAAGTGAGGATGGTGAGACTTCCACTCACTCTGGACACATCATCGGGATGGATCGATGAATAGAAAAGGATACCGTTTGGGGGGCCAATGAACTCAAGGAAAACCCTTCCGAGATTGACACAATGGCCTCAGATACGTAGGTGATTATGAGGCTGACGCAGGAGCAGGCAGTGTTTCATCCCGTCATGCTCGGGGTCACCATGCTACTCAAGGTTGTGTGTGAGCTTGGCTGGGCTGTGGTTCTGAGTGGCTGGGCAGCTGGGTGTGGTTGTTCCCCATGATGGGACTGTATCATCTCCATGGTCCAGTCTGCTCTGAGCACCTAACCAGAGGAAGGGGACCATGTGAGCTGCTGCTACCATATAGACAGCTTTGGGAAAGGTCTTGTTCCGGTCCCTGGCGCCGCTCTGACAAGAATATACCACACATGGGATGGCCTTAAACAGGAGTTTATTCTTACAATTTGGAGGCTTTAAGCCCAAATTCAAAGTGCCAGGCTCTAGGGGCTGGGTGAAAGCCCCTCAACCTTGGGGGCCAGCTCTGCCTCCTGCTCCCGGCCCACTGGAGCTAGAGGCGTTTCTTCACTCAGACCTGCTGGCTGCGGAGGCTGAGAAGCCCAAGGTTGACAAGTCAAAAGGCACAGTCCCGATATTACCAGACCACACGGCAGGCCATTAGCTTAAGTCCATTATAAGTCCCAAGGTTGGCAGAGCATGGCAGGCTGCTGAACAATGACACGGCCACATGCAGGGTCCAAGCGTGCCACAGGCTAGAGACCATTCCCAAGGCTTCTCCTTATAGACAGGAAGCAGACATCGAAAAGGCAGCTACTCAGCTGCTTGTGGTAGATCCCACCATGGAGTTGATTGCCAGTCTCATCACAGGGAGTAACTACCACCAGCAGCCCAGCCACTCAACCAGGCCCAGCCACATTGACCCACAAACCTGCCACCATAGGTCTCTAGCTTTTGGGCGCATCTGGAGCCCGTATCTGACCCCGTCTTCATCTCGGTGGACTGCCATGTTGCCTGCTGGCCTTAGGATTATTCCCGGACTTGACCTGGTGGCTGATCTCAGGATGGTGCCATTGTACCTGCCAACCGTGGGCTCATCAGCCTCAGCAGCTGCCTGAAGTCAGAAAAAGCCTCCGGCTCTAGTGTGCCTGCAACAGGAGGCAGAGCAGAAGCCCAAGGTCAAGGGGTCTTCACCTGGCCCCTAGGGCCGGCACTCTGAGCTCATGTTTCTAGCTTCCCAAACTCTAAGAGAATAAATCCGCTTGTTCAAGTCATCCCCTTGTGGCATTTTGGTTGCAGCAGGACTAGAGAACCAACACAGCCACCACAAGCCAGGGCCACACCACGGCAGCTAACATTTCTGGGGCCTGGAGGGTGGAGGGTGAAGGAATAAGACAAGTTCCACTCAGACACAGGCCTCATTTCAGTAAACTCGTCCAGTATTTATTGAATGTGAACGTTTGTAAACGTTGCCGCAATTCAAGACACTCACTCATCCACACATCCTGATCCTTCTCTGGGCTCCCTTGAGAAGAAGCCTGAGGCAGGACCTCCCCCAAATTCTGGGGGACAGAAAGAAGGGAGGGGGACGCATGGAGAGATGGCAAAAGCAGGGGACAGGAAGGCAGGAGGGCTAGTGTGAAAAGTGAGACCCCCACAACAGACACACACGCGCACAGAGCAATGACCAGGGGTGTCAAGCTCCGGCCCCACCCAGCAGCCGCGAGAGATTCTGGGAAAGACCACGCGTCCGGAAGACATTTCAGTCCTTCTCGTCATGAAGCGTCTACCGAAGAGGGGCTGGGCCAAGGTCCCTGGGCTGTGGAGACAAAAGACGGTTATCGGAGGGCTCAGCTTGTGGGGACAGAGCCCAACGTGGGGGTACATGGTAAAGGGGAAAGAGGTAATGGGGAGACGGGAGGAAAATGCAGAATGAGAGAGAAACTGAGGCATGGGGAACATGGGAGGCCCTGTGAGGAAAGGAAATTGTAACCCAACAAGTGAGTTGGGTCCAGACGTGGTTCTTAGAATTGATCAGAGAAATGCTGCAGACTGGGTCTTGGCTGGGAGCGCTAATGGTAGGTCACCAGCAGAACTCACAGACAGCCTGACGCCTGTGAAGGCTTCCCGAGAAGTCAACAACTGGAATTGCTCCGATAGCCCTGGGCAACTCAAGTTCAGACTGCCCCAAACAGACCTCGTCGCTAGTCACCAACAGGTCAGTTTACCGACTGAGGAAAGCGTAAAAACCTCACCCAAGGGAAATTAAGTCCCTGGTGGTGGAAAACATGAACAGACCTGGCTGCAGACTGAAGAAGTGGATCTCTGAGTCCACCAACAGGTGCATCACAGGAACGGCCTGGCAGACACACACTGGAAAGGCCACACAGCACAGTTCTACTCCGACCCACAGCGGGTCACCATTGAGTCAGAATTGACTTGATGGTTGTCTTTTTGTTTAAAAAGGTTTCCTGGGAGGAAACCTCTAAGCTCTTCAAACACCCTGCCTGATAACTGTCTTTGTTTACCTGGGGACTTGGGTCGCCAGGTGGTCTATGCTAACAGTGTGATTTATGGGGGAGACTTGAGTCACAGTGTGTCACCTTGACCTCTAGAGAAGCTGGAGACTAAGGTAAGCCGTGAGGGTGGTCAGCAGGTCTACTCGACCAACCCCTAGTACAAACCCTGGACACAGACTTAGGAGAGCCTCCTGGGTGGCAGGATTCCACACGTGTGGTCACACATTGTTGCTGGGAGGACCCAGACCTGCCCCCACAACCCCAAGGGGAGAAGACAGGTGGAAGCTCACTTGTGGTTTCTCCCGGGCCCTGCCCTATGTGACTTTTTCCTTTCTTGTTTCTAGTATGTATCCTGTCACTGTAATAAACCATAACCGTGAGCATAACAGCTTTTCTGAGTTCTGTCAGTCCTAGGGAATCAGTAACAGCGAGCGTTGTCTTGGAGAACTCTCAAAACTGCACCCAAGAAATACCCAAACGAGAGACCTTCTTCCCAGCCTGTCTGCAGTTCTCGTGCCCTCTTTTTTCTTATATCAACCCCATCTGTGCTTATGTTGGATGAAATCATCTATCGACCGACCTCATGGAGTCCAAGCCAACCACATGCTTGCTGTTAAGAGGGTGCCTGAGGGTTACTGCCAATTTGATCGGCGGACAGTGTGTCTGTGCAAGAGAGGCACCCCATTTTATTCTCCAAAGATTCCAATTCCACTATGGCGGACCCCATCCCTTGCAGCAACAGCCCATGATTTATTCTGCTCATGCAGCTTTGAAATTATTCTATTTTTAACTTTTTTTTTTAATTTTTGAATATTCATTTCTGAACAGCACAAGACACTACCTGTATTTTCATGTTGCATTATTTCAAGTGTCATGTTCATGTTAACGTGAGACATGCTCTCACTGTGCTCAGATGTCTAGAGAGTGAAACTTGAGTTTCAAGCATCCGAGAACAAGCTTTCTGATACAAAGCATGCTGGGAGCAAGGCCTGGGTCCACAGTATACAGAGATGTGACCCTTGTTTCTAGACCACCTCGGGGTGGGAGCTAGATCTTAGGTTCAGAGGGTGACAGGAAGTGGTTCTAGGCTCTAGATTCTAGACTGGGCTGAAAACTGGTGCCTAGTTCTAGAGTAGGTTGGGTTGAGATCCCATCTGGAATGCATTGGCTTAGAAACTGCAAATCAGGTCTAGAATGTGCCGGAAAGCAGGGCTATGTCCCAGACTTCTTGTTATATGCCATCGAGTCAGACCCGACTCATAGCGACCCCTCCTTGGGCTTCCGAGGCAATATCACTGTGGAAGTAGATTGCCCAACCTTCCTTCCGACGTCCCAGAGAGTAATCTGGAAATTGCTGTATGTTCTAGAATGTAGTGAGCTGGAAACTAGTACTTGGGCTTGGCCACATTAGAAACTCAGTCAACTCTAGCACTGAACAATGCTAATTACCACACTCAAGTGCTCGGCTGGGAAGTGGTCCTAGGTTTGGAGTGTGTTGGGAGCTGGTACTGTATTTGAATCTAGACTACTGAGTGACTGTCGAGTGTGTTGGGAGCTGGCACTATAGTTTAATCTAGACTAGTGGGGAATGTCAGATGTAGTCAGTTCCAACCTGGAAGTCAGTTTTGGACCAGGTGATCAGTTCTAGAGCTAGTATTCATTTCTATAACGTTCTTAGACCGACAGTCACGTCTACAGTGTGTTTCTGGGGATGGTGGTTAGCACTAGTGTGTTATGGAGCTGGGGTCAGTTCTAGAACTTGGCAGGAACCCGTGCTTGTTCAGAGCCTGGTGACAATGAATGGTCCATCCCAAAGCACTGGGTTTGAGAATTCTCCCAGAGCACACTGGGAACTCAGGCTGCACTCAGTTCTGTGGGGCCACTGGGTTGGGAACCGTTTCCTGGTGAAAGGACACAGACTCAGAGCTCTGGATCCCCTTCAGACTGTGGGGTTTCTGCTGTACCTTTTACTCCCAAACTGGCCCTCTGAACATCACAGTCCCAGGTCTCTTCCTGTACCTCCCCGGGTCCTGCCTCCTCTCTCTCCTGCTCTGTGGCTACAGCAGGCATGGCCCCTTCCACCAGGATGTCCACCATGGGCTGGGAGCCAGCAGCAATTGCAGGGATAGATCCAAAGGATGGCACCCGCTCCCACCCCCATCTGAGCGGGACCCCCTCACCTCTGCTTTCGGGGCTCATTACCCCTGAGCCAAAGCGGCTTTGATGGCAGCTACCAGCTTCAGAAACTTGCTCTCTGTGTCCACGTAGCCATCACCTTTCTGTGCACGGGAGGAAGGGCGGCAGGGTGAGCCAGCACCAGGACCCCAACCTTAACTCCCATCCCACACGAGCCCAAAACAGAGGCAGGGATGGACAGACAGACATACCTTCTTAGAGTGGATCAACTTTCCTGCTACCATGACTTCAAAGAACCCGGTGACGTGAGGAGTCCCCTCGCCACTCTGGGAGAGGGAGAGATGTTGGGAGGGACGGAGATGCCCTCCTGGGGTCCCCTGCCCCTTCCCAGAGAACTGAGATCCTGGGTGGAGGGCAGAGCTGGCCCCCACCATCCCCAGTGCCATGCTGGCCTGAGGGATGGACAAGGTGACCTGGGCCTGGTCCCACCTCCCCATCCCCATGACTCACGATGTCCAGGCGACCAGGAAACTCATCTTCTAACTTCTTCTTGAGCTGAAGATACTGAGAACGGGACGGCGGTCACACAGGTGTCACACCAGCCGGCCCTCCCCCCAGTGTACGCGCCTCTCAGCCCCCACTGCTGGTCCCCGGGGATGTCCTTGGCTGCCCAGGCTCAGCTTACCTTGGACTTGTAGCCTCAAGCACCACTGGTCAGGGGAGAGTCCGAGAGAGTGGGCCGGAGGGCAGAGACAGAGATGGAAGAGGGGAGAGATGGAGATGGGAGGGGAGGGGAGAGATGGAGGAGGGGGAGGATGGGAGAGATGGAGATGGGGAGGGGGGAGACAGGGAGGGG